TTTCGTTCTCGTCCTTTTTGGCCTTCCTGCCTCCCTGTTTCCCTTTATTTGTTCCTCTCTTCCTGCCTCCCTCCCGTTCTCTTCTCTCCCCCTTTCCCTCCTCCCGCGACCGTGGCGACGATGCCGACGGCGACGCCGACGGCGACGGCACCGTCGACGCCGACGTCCCGCGTTCGTGGCTTCCGTGGATGCCTGCCATGCGAGTGGATGAGGACAGGAATGGTGAGGGTGAGGGTGAAGCGGGGGTCGTCGGAGTTGACTCGAACTTTAGCGCGCTTGGGCTCGCGTAGTGTTTTTGTGTACATCTATGAATAATACTCATATCCACCGCCTGCTGGGCTCACAGGACGTCAGCTCCCAGGCGGCGGATATGGATGCATCCCCGCCTCGCGCCCATGGTGCTCCACGCGTACCGCGACCACATGGAGGGGACCCCCTACGACCTCACCAAGGGCATGGCGGCCGGCCCGCACGGCAACCCGAACAGGGCTCCCTCGGCTCCGGGGGCGCCCGGCGGGCAGTGGGAGCTCCGAGGAGGAACAGTTTCCGACACGGTCGGTTCGTGCGGCAATGGCGCGCCAGCAAAACACCGGCGAAAGCGTTCAAGATTTGTTTCTGCGACGCGGAAGCACCCAGGGGCACGGAGATGCCACTGGACCGGATGGGATTCAACTTTGAACGATAGGGGCCGCGATCTGTTCAAGGTCGAACGATCGAGGCGGTCAAAAAAGTTCGTCTGCGCCGACGCCGCACGAACCTACCAATACCGCTCTCGCCGCCTTGTTTTTCGATTCTGAGCCTCCTGGGAGGCCCTTGTCCCTGGTCGCCACCGTTGGATTTGCCTTGAGGCTCTGGTCAGAACGTGCCCCAGGAGAGGTCCGTGGAGTACCGGTCCCCAGGAGCGGGCCATCTCCATGTTCCGGACCACGTGGTCGTTCGTCAACGTGGCCAGGCCGGGGGGCAGGAGCGTGGTGTGGTTCGGCTACGACGCGGCGCACGGCACGGCCTACATCCCGTTTTACGGCGCGGCGACCAGGGGCGGGCCAGAGTGTTACCACAGCCACGACGGCACCATGGCGAAGTTCAGCTTCAACGTGGCCTGGACGCCGTTCGGCATGCTCAACTCCTTCTCGGAGGTCAACTTCGGGCTCATCAACGGGCACGTCCGGGCCCAGGCGGCCCGCCTGGAGGCTCGCGGGAGAGCAGAACGGCGCACACGCAGACGCTCGGAGGTCCGATGTTCCGACGATCCGAGACGGCCCGATTCCTTCATGGCGCTCTTATGCGTCTCGGCACGGCTGACTCGGTTCTAATCTCACGTCGGGGGAGCGTCCCTTTGCAGGAGGAAAATCAAAAACAGTCAAGAAGAGGTCGGGGGACATTATTTTAAGCTGTTTTCTTGTTTCAGCAAAACAAGAATATGTGGGCTGAATCCGCCTGGGGGGGGGACACGCCCGACGTAGGTTCTAATCCGAGCCCGTGCCGATGCAGCCCGATCCGGCGCACATTCTTGCTCGATCCGACTTGTTGGTTCGATGCTGACTGGTCTTGCCCGTCCTGGGCGTGCGAGGCGCGCCTGAGGCGGCGTCAGAGGCGCCGCCAGAGGGGCGCAGCGCCGGTCCAGGAAATCTGCGCCGACTTCTGATCTACCAGCCTGGAGCGTACCCCTGTTCCCATGTGATGAGTATCGCCTTATCTCGGTGCCGATCTTTAAGGATTTCCCCCCAAGTTTCTGGGGAGGCGCATCCCTGATGCTGTTATCGCCCTGGGCTTGTTGACACCTGAGGCATAGGCTAGCCTGGTAACCTCGAGGCTGGCTATTGGAGGCTCATGTCCGCTCCGTTCTTGTTGGGTTTCTCCAGAGGCGGAGGCCATGCGGCAAGTCGAGGACTGGGAGAAGGAGGCAGACTGGATCCCGTCGCCAGAGGCCTCGCTCGACTTGCTCACCGCCAGATCCAACGCCTTCGCGGAAGAGGCTGTAAAGGTCTAGGCCTCCCAGATGGGGTCGGAGCAGATTGGGTCGTGGGATTCTGCCGCATTGCCGATGCATCTACGATGCGTCTCGGTGTGGAGACAGATTTCCCTACGCCGGCGTCGCCGATGCATCGCCGACGTCGACGATGCATGGCCGATGCCTCGGCGATGCATCGCCGATGTGGCGCGATTTCCGACCCCGTCTACGGTCGGGACGAGGTATAAGATCGAGGTCTGTTCGGGGAGGGTGCCCTAGTGTTCGTCGTGTCTGTTGGATGCGTGCATCCTGAGGGAGGGTACTTTCAAATGATCTTCTGGTTTGGTCGGCGGAGGGTCTCATGTTCTCGAAGGATGTTTGTATGTCCTTGGTCCGGCCGTTCTCGGACCCAGACTAAGAGGCCCCTAAAAGGGCTGGTGGAAGTTCATGTTTGACACTTTCCTGCGGTTCGGCCACGACATGGTGACCTTCAACGACTCGGCGACGGGCGTGGACTACTACGGTCAGAGATACCCTGATTGGTGGCTGGAGACTGGTGGTGCCGACGAAGGGGTGTCGGACAAAGGGGTGTCACGATGGGGGCGGCCTTCTAAGAAGGGGGGTTGCCTTTCAGAAGGCCGGGAGCTTTTTAGAAGCCATCCCGGCTTCTGAGACGCCTTCTGAGAAGCCCCCGGGCCTTTCTACGAAGCCCGCGGCCCTCAAGAAGCCCCGCGCCGTCTTAGAAGGTCCCCCCCTCTCGTGCCACCCCCTTGGAGTTTTTTTGTTGTGCTCCTCGGGGGCGTCAGCGTCCGTCGCCTCCCCGTGCCCGCCTCCCGCCCTTCCGTGACAGTCATCGGAGGCCTAGATGTCGACGCCCACGCCAATATTGGCGGTGTGCTTTCGCCGAAGGAAGATGATCCCGATCTAGGTGATGGTGGACAGATTCGGGCTTCTAGGTTGCTGACAGATTACCACCAGCACCAACACCCAGGATCATCTTCTTGGTCCCCCTGTGGATGCAACGCTCTGCGTTGGTGTTGGTATTCATTTCCAGGCCTCCAAGGTCACGATCGCACCTGGGGTGCAGGGGCGCGCCCCTCCCCTCCTCATGCTTGCAGGCATGCTGTGGCGCTCGCAGGCGGCTGCGGCCATCACTGCATGATGAGGTGCTCGCGCGCCATCGTGGTGCTCTTGTGTGGAAGGCGCAGGCGTATCGTGTTGCTGCCAGGCAAGCGGCAGCGTCCCCAGGATCTTTGATGGCCCTTGTGGCGCTCTGGTGCTGCTGGTGCTCGCGGGCCTGCTGCGGCGCTCGCAACATGCCGTGGCGTTGCTGCGCTGTGGTGCTTGCAGGCCACTGCGGAACCAAGGACGCCCTCGAAGGCGCGAAGTCATTCGCGCTTCGCGCTTCGCGCTTCGCGCTTCGCGGTTCGGCTCCGATTCCTCCTCCTCCTCCTCCTCTTCTCCCCTGGGAGGCGACGCGAGGGCGCGACATGACTCGCACTTCGCGCTTCGCGCAGCGCGCAGCGCGAAGTTGGGAGCCCCCGGGAACGGAGCTGGCGTCGTAGCCGAGATCTGACGTCCGTGGCCTGGGCGCTCCCGCCGGGGGCGGGCCGGCTGAGGTGCAGCCGCCTGCGGCAGGCCCCGCCGCCCGCGCCGGCCCTTCACTCCGGCTGGCGACCTGTTCTGGAGGTCGGAAAGGGGTTGTGGTATAATTCGGGACCTCGCAAAGGGGGGTGCCACGGGGGGGGGCGAGTTCGGTCCGTGGGCGCATCGAACCGCAGAAAAACGATGCAAAACGAGGGGCGTCGACAATCGGGGCGCGCGGGGGACATCGTCTTGCGGAGATTCGATGCACCAGCGGATCGAACTCACCCCCCCCCCCTCAGGGCCCCCCCCCTCCTTGGTGGACCCCGTATAAAAAGGGGTATGGTGCCAATCCTGGGAATGGCGATGCTATCTGCGATACATAACATCGCCATATTCCCCTTTACACAGCATTGGCACCAAGCCCCTTTACACCACACCCCTTTCCTACCTCCAGAACTGTTCGAGAGGGCACGGGAGGCCGGAACATGTAACACCCCTTCGTCCTCATGTCTTGTGGAGCTCGAGTGGAGCTTATCAGGGCCGTCTTGAGGCTGTCGTGTTCGGATGCACCTCCTGAGAGATCAAGGTCTGACTTTGCCTTGGTCCCAAGTCCGGCTAAATCTCGCTTGATTTGGCTTGCTCCCGCTCAATCTGGTTTAATCCCGCTAAATCCGAGGCCCAATCCAGCGTAACAGCCTCCCAATAAGGCTGAAGACTTCCCAGTAGTTGCCTCTTAATTTTTGGCTCATATGTGGCGGTCTTGGGGGTCCCTTGGGGCCCTGTTGGGCCGTCTTAGGCTCTCCTGGGCCGTTTTGGGACTCTTGGACCGTGTTGGCGCTCCCTTGGCCGTCTCTTGAGGTCCTTTGGGCCAGCTTGGCACTTTCTTGGTGCCGTCCTGAGCTATTAGGGGCCCTCTAGAGGCCGTCTGACTCTAAAGTGAGCTGGGGATACAGGTGAGTGGGAACGAGCGTGCGCCCGCGGCCGCTTGGCTCAAAGCGGCCAGCCGCCCAGATCTGACGACACCCCAGTGCGAGGTGTATTATTTGCCATCGATACCAAAATTGCTTGAGATGGCTCGCCTCCTACTACCTGGACTATCGTTACTACGGTACACCAGAGCTGGAGCTGGGCTTCGCCTAAGGCGTAGCTGTTGGTTGGGCCTCCCAACCCCATTCAAACTTGGTAGCGGAGCTGGCCTATGGTGGTCAGCTCTTGCTCTACTCCTCACCATCCACGGCACTATCTGGTGGACTACTGACGTGGTGGAAGAACATGGTGCAGTGGGTTTGCACGGAAGAGTGTATATACGTACGCAACATAGCAAGGACACTTGCTCTGATACCTCTGCCTGCGCAGAGGCCTCTTGCTCGCGTCCTGCATCTCTGCGCTACTAACTCCTGAAGTCCACCCGCCTACTCCAATTGGAAACTTCTCCGACGTTGTGCCGCATGCTTACGACCACACACCGCAACCCCCAACCAACCACATCCGACTACGACCTACGAGGCCATTGGATTTGTATATATATATATATATATATATTTGGGCTCACATGGGTTGCTATCGGGTGCGCGATGGAACACATCGTGGCGGAGACGACGCAAGAACGACCGGCCCCCAGTGGGGCCCGTCCAGTCCGCGAATTTGTTCGCGAGTTGCATGCCTGGATCAACGTGACCACACGCACCATGACGCCCTCCCAGCAAGCTGCAGCCTTGCAGCGGGGCTTGGGAGGCCTCGCGCGGACCATGGCCATGAGAGTTCCCCCAGCTGTTATCAATTTCGGCGTAAACATAGGTGGCCGCCATACCGATGGCGTCACCTACATCATGTTCTTCTTAAGTATGAAGTTCGAGAACTCAGCTGAGTAACGCCAAGTCAACTCTGGTACAGCTCTCATTGACTTCCGAGTCCATGTGGGGGAACGGATCGACCAGACTTTGGCGCGCTTCGAGATAGCCCGCTATGAACCTGCAACGGCAGATTTGAGCATCCCCAACTTCCAAATTCTATGTTTGTATTCAGAGCCCTTGGAGCGGGGGCGCCGCCTGCACGACAACTCCTACAGCCACTAACCACCACGTGCCGAAGGACCAGCAACAGTTTGACTCTCTACTTGAACGCATGAGGTCATATGCCCACATAGCTGAAATAACCCCTGGCAATATTGGTGGTTTCTCCAGTCGCGGTCACCGCGCCGAGACCTTCCGCGCTGAGGCCAACGCAGGACAACTTGCTAATAACGTTTGGAACGACGATCCGCAACCGGCGGAGACCACCGCACTATTGACTCAGACTGGTGGTTCGGCCTCGGGGTTGCAAGTCTCCTGGGCCCCGTTTCGGGGGCCGCCCGATGCGGCAGCCCCTGCGCAAGCCACTGCCCTAATGGGCTCAGCGGGGCAACCTGCTGAGTGCGACTTCGACTCTGGTGCCGGCGCCGACGCGTCTTCAGACGACGAGGCTACCGCCCTAGACTACTCCGATATGCCCGCGTACCTCACGGAAGAGCAGCAGGCGCAATGGTTATTCTTAGGATACAGGTGGGGGCGATTTAGGAAGAAGCCAGTTCGCAAGGTACGGCGTACTATCCGACGGGCACTCAGGGGGCAGGGCAAGGGTCGAGGCGAGGGTGAAAAGGTAAACGGCGGCGACCTCATGACAGAGGCATGTTGGCATTTCTAGCATCCCTTTCTGGTCAGCAATATGAAGATGTTCCTAGGTGCAGACAGGAACCGTCGGCGCACATCAGGAAAAAAAAAGAAAAAAAAGGTAGGGGGCGTCGGGCAAACCCGAAGGATTCCAACGGCAAAACTGTGGAGTGCGGCATCTGTCATAGCGCGCAGCACTTTCGCCACAAATGCCCTCAGGGCGATGGTGCAGGCAGAGGTCCGTCGATGCATTTGGCTCAAACTGACTCGGACATGCAGTATGTTGACTGGGGGCCACTTTTGGCCGTTACTGCCGGCAGCTCAGCTGCAGTTGCGAATTTCGTGGCTGCCAGATATTTGAGTGCCAGTAAGTCTCTCGAGAATTATGCCGACGAGCTGTTCGAGGATATTTTCACTGGCCACAATGAGATCGATCTGGCAGACTGGCTGGGCATGCCCATCGCGGGGCAACCTGCCGATATTGAATTTGTCGAGAACTTCCACGTGCCCGCCGAAGGAGATGACGAAATGGCGGTGACGCCCGCGAATTCAGAAGTCACTACTCCTGCAACAGAGGAGGACGCACACTTTCATTATTCCTGCAACTTTATCCTCGGGCTATTGGCAATCCGACGAACATGGACTTGAGTGATGACGACCCTGCGCGGGGACACCCGCGAGATGCTGGCGATCCGTCAGCGCGCATCCAGTGCGAGCTCGGCCACGACGGAGGACTTCTATCTACATTCGTAGCTTCGGGCCGCCCCCTGAGCCGCCAGGGGCGATCGTCGAGCCGCCGGGCCTGGAGACGTACGTATCGCGCCGACGACGATGACGAAGAATGGGAAGATGACGCGCGTCTGGTGCGTCGCGGTCGGGTCCGCAGCGGCTCGCCCGAACGCGCGCGCGCTTCAGCGGCGCTCGCTCTGGCGGCCTTCGGCGCCCTCATCCTCCTGATAAGAGGGCCCCAAGGGCCCCTCAGAGGAAGGGCAATGGACCTGGGGCTCCACCGAGGAGGGAGCGCTTGCGCGGGCGCCCGCGTCAAGGGGAATAACCTCGCGCAGAGTATCCAGAAGACAGAACAAGTGCCTTGTTGACCGCTCGGGTGCTGGATTGGCTCGTCAGTGCGCAGACCCAGGTGCGATGCGACACTGGTTGAACAGGGGTTGGACTGAGCGCCGGATTTGACGCTGGCCTTCTCCTCGCAAGGTCGGCCGGCGTGACGAGGGCAAATTCATTCGCTCAAAAAGGAGGGGGGAGTCAAAGAACATGAAGCCCTTATAAAGCGTGGCTCTATGAGGGCCATCGTCGAGA